TTTGTCAGAATTGTGAATGCAAATGCCAATCCAAGAGTCGCAGCTGCAAGATGAAGTGGAGCATTTCCTCTTAGAGCCAAATTGGCAGTTGCAAGTCGGAACTGTCAGAAGATCAGAAAGCAAAGTCAAAACTTCAGAGGTTTGCAATGCAAGGACTTCATAGTGCTAGGTTTGATCAAAATTTAGGTGTCCTCGGGATGCTTTAGCCAGCAGCCCTTGCCATCCTTGAACTTTGGCACCCGCAAAGATGACCACATGTCCAGCAGCGATCCGTCTAGGATTGACCAGTCCAACGTCAGCCTCACTTCGAAGACACCCGTACAGACCAGCTACTAATGATGCAAATGAACAGAAACCAAGGAGAACTGTTGTTGGCTCTAAGAGCAGATATCATGAACATTCAAAGTCATTCAAGAACCATCGGTAACTGCACCTGAAGCATCTCACAGCGAGCTTGCACCTCCCGCAAAACATGTGATTTCTGGTGATTTCTCAAGCCTAGGGATCCACACAGCTTTGCACCACACTGGCATTGAAGTCTGCCTGGCCAAGAGCACCAAACCACAAGGATCGAAAAGGAACGACCGAAAAACATCAAAAAACCTGTTTTGTGACGTCTTGTGTCCTGTCTACGCTCCCAAACAAGAGTAGGAAATATGTGAAATCGCGGAAGCTTCAGAACTGAATGGGGCAAAATGTCACTGAGTTACAAAGGCAATTTCCGTGTTTTGCAACTCCAACTCCGGCTCTGGCCTTTAAGTGGCGCAGCTTTACACAAAGCGCAAGGCAAAGGCAGTGGCACCTGGGGTCTAGCGTGGATTTGGTCTTTTCAAGGCTCATTTGCAAGGGACGTCTGGGTTATTCTGGATTCCTGGATCAGAGCAAGATAAGGTTGTGAGGCAATTAGTCGTTTGAGTCCATGTGGTGATTGGTTCAAACCAACACCTCCTAATCAACGATGGTTTGGCATGCTCAACGCTTCCGGAATCAGGACAGAAGCAGCGCCTCTTTTGCTTGGGGAACAGGAGAACAATCCTGCGCCAAAGCTGTTTGTGGGCGAAGTGTTGACGCCCTAGAGATGAAGAAACATCAAAGACTGCATAGTGACGTAGCGACTACATCTTGCGAACTCTTGCTGTGTGGCTTCTTGTCTTCTAACACACCTACCAATACAGTACCCCGGTGGCTAGTCGCAAAGGATCAAGCTTTCGCATGCGAGTCAAAGAAACACCGAGTACCACCAATGCGCCAATGTGCTCTCCGACTTCAACGGAGTCACCGTGGCAGTCACACTAAAAGAGTAGACACATGTAGACAAAAGTATCAAAAAGTATCAAACAAAAAAAACAATTCGTCATAGAAATTCTCCTTGGCCTTGACATGCTCTTTCGCTTCCTTCGCTTTCTTCGCTTTCTGCCGACTGGTCACACATGCAGAGGGCAGCGCCAGCAAGGCCCTGAAACCGTGTGCCCGAGACAGCGCTGTTGAGACCGGTGAGACATGAGCTGTGAACGCCTGATCTTGATACATCTTGATACCAAGCTGTCCGATTAGATAAACGATGATCAACTTAAGTCAACTTAGCTATATTTAGCATTATTTAGCTATCTTACGTGCAGCTGATCTTGCGGCCAAATGCGGCCATGAGACGTTGAGCGGCAAAAGGGCGACTTGTCCAAGGCCTGTGACAAGAACGAGGGGTCCAAAATCGCGAAGCGCGCAATAGCACGCAAGCAATAAGATGAAACTATGCACAACCTAGTGAAACTGCTTAAATACTCCTTAAAACGCAGCAAAATTCAGTCTACATAGGTCCTGTAATGTCCTTCTTTGCTCCTCTTGCATGAGTTTGAAGGGTATGACAGGAATCGGCTGATACACTAAGCGTGCCAAAAATCCCACATGCAGTGACAAATACACGCGCACACTCACTGACTCACTGAATCACTGGCTCTCTCTCTCTCTCTCTGTCTCTCTCTCTCTCTCTCGCTCGCTCGCTTTCATGGCTTTTGGAAGCTATTGAGGTTCACCGATTCAACTTTCCTACCTAGTTAAATACTGATCTAGTTGTGCCTCCGCTCGCTCCTTCGCTGCGTCGGTGCAAAGTGTGATCTCATTTGTTTTTTTCTTTTGTGCATGCTGCTTTCAATGGAAAAAAACATGCCGGCTTACCAAAAGAAGCACAATCCTGTTCATGCAGCCCGCTAGATTTTGCTATCCCATGCTTTTGACATTTGAAAGTTTGATGCCCGACATCACGCTATTACAGTTGAAAGCAAGCGAATTGAGAAGGCACACAGTACTTTGAGAATATGCAGAGAAGAACGAGAAGATATGAGAAGTATTCAAGTGGTTTGTAAGTGCCAATATTCAATAGCAAATACATTGTGAATCGTTATGATACACATGAAGGAACAGGAATTGAACAAATGCCACTAGTTGCTGCACTAAAACGCACAGGCGGAGCGAGAGCACGACCAAATTGCTGGAACCATGTGAACATGAGCTATATGAACCAGGTCACGGGCGTGCAAGTCACCAGTGTTTTCCAGGGGCCTGGTGCACTGTAGTCTCAGCCCTGTGGACTGCGCTCATCTTGGCAGTTGCTTTTGCGAACGCCCTTTGGCTTTTCCTTTTTTTTGACCCTAATTTGGCGCGCAACCCAGATTATGTAGATTATATATCTGCCAGGGTTTGCATGATTGACAAGTAGATTTGATCATCGCTCCACTGCCACTCCACCCCATTGAGCCAGCATTGGAAGTGCACGCCGCATTCCACAATACTACACGTTACTACACCATTTCACAAGTGAACCTGCCAGCCCAACATTCGCACCCTGCCCCCAAATCTGTCATGCCTCGATGTTGGGCAATTTCTTGATGTCCCCAACGTTGCCGTCAAGAAGACATGGTGAAAAACACAGAACCAAAACGTAGCAAAGAGAAACCTCAAGAATCTCAAGGCATCACTGGAACAATTGCACCAGCTCGTGATCAACTCGAATCAGCTTTGGAAGAAAACCTGAGGTACTTCTCCTTGTTTCAACTTAGGTCATAAACTCATAGACAGACTAATACACATCTCTTGATGGTACATGGATGCAAATGACATGCATAGCCAAGCTGCCAGAAGAGACGTATCAGAGCAATGCTGCGCATCTTTGCCCAACTCCTGCAGTACTATCTGCATCCCACAAATTGGTTCCTGCCAGGGCCGCACCAGCTCCATAAAATTCAGAAAACCAAAGTTAGCAAAGTCCGCAGTCGCCCACGTTGAAAATTCTTCGAATCTGAAATGATTCCATCTTCTCTTCGAACTTTTTTGAACAGTCACAAACAGCCCGTCAAAACAGCATTTGACTCTTTTTGGCCAGTTCAATCAAAAACATCAATCCGCAGTTTTCCAGCCTTCTGGCACACTGATGGAAGCCCTGAAGTAAACGCACAAAATGACCAAAACAAGCAAAAACCATCAAACAAGAGATCGCTCTTTGAAGCATCTTTGCAATGCGGTGGTTCTATGGTCTATTAAAAACCGAGAGAAAAAAAATCACAAGCTATATAAAGTCCTTTTTCGGACACCATAAAAATCTGTAAAACCAGGGAACAAATCAATCTGTGTGTCACAAACGACAAAGATCAATTTGCGCCAAAGCTCTCTGCAGCCATCGGGCAAGGGCTGTCCAGACTGCAAGGCGCCCAGGACCTGCTGCAGATTTTCTTTTTCAGGCTGGGGCACTTTTCCTTGCTATTTGCTTCTTTTTGGAGCCCAAAAAAAACATTTGCTGCATTATCATTTGCACGCTATTTGCAGTATTTTGGAGCTAAAATCCCTTATTTGGACGGTATTTGCAACATTTTGGGCCTTGGACCTCTGGTTGGCAGAAAACTGGCAGCATGTTGGAACCAGCATTTGCACAATATGATTTGCATGATGTTTACCGTAAATTAACATATTTTATTTGCATGGTCTTTGGAACATTTTGGCCCAACAATCTGTAATTTGATGAATATTTGCCACATGTTCAAACATGAAACCTATTTTCATTGTTATTTATATAGTTGTTTTCTACTTGGTTGATAGCATAGTAGCAGCAACATATTGGCAATTTTCACGATGCCTTTAGCATTGGTGTTTAGGGTCTACTAAGGGTTGGTTAAGCATTTACTCGGGGTTGGTTTAGGGCGTATTGCAGGTTGCTTTACACGTTATTTATATACGACTTTGAGGGTTGGTTTATTTACAGTGTGTTTAGGGTTTATTATGGGTTGGTTTAGGCGTTTAGGGTTTATTCATTAAAGAATCCTAAGTTACTCCCAGAAAGGGTTACTCCAAAACCCTCAGAACATTCCGAAAAGTCCAAAAAATGTTCAAAAAAAGAACAAATCCCAGAATTCCAAACAGTTCCAAACATGTCCAAAAAGTTCCAAACAAAACCAACCAATCAACAAAGAATCCAAAAAAAACAAAATGTTCACAAAACACCGAAAAAACATAAAACAACAAACAATCCACACCCAACAAAATAACAAATCGGTTCAACAATCTTAAAAAATAATGAAAAATAGTTATATGGAATTATCTGGAATCATTTGGATGATGGTGAATTATATGGAATGTGCCAGGAGTGCCCTCTAAGAAGTGTCCCTCTTCATACAAAATATTTATTTAGGGTTTCATTTAGGGCTGGTTTAAGGTTTACTTGGATTGGTTTAAGGTTGTTTAATGTTATTTAGGGGTGGTTTATCGTATATTCAAAGTTTCTTTAGGGCTGGCTTAAGGTTGGATTAAAGTTCATTTATGGATACAAGGTGTGCATATCAACAAACATATATATTATATATATACACACACATATAGATATATGCATATACAAGCATATATATATAATACACATATATATACATATACATATATATATATATGTATATATATATATGTGTATATATATATATATGTATATATATATATATGTACATATATATATATATGTACATATATATATATATGTACATATATATGTACATATATATGTACATATATATATATGTACATATATATATATGTATATATATATATAAATATAATTATATATATATATCCGTCGACCCCTGCCAACTGCAGGGGGAGCGCGTCCGAGGAAAAGTGCCGTTCCGGAGCAAGCGGCCATGCCGGGCGCCTGCAGAAAAGTTTTCTAATGGCTTCAGAAAGCGACGAGGTTTTAAATGCTCCCCGGCGCCCTTTACAGCCTAGTGGTACGCCCTTTGCACTCTTTGGTCTTCAGCTTCCGGCCCAGCGCAGTGCTTTGGCCATCAGCCGGGCGCCTTCAGAGAAGTTTTCTATTGGCTTTAGACAGCGACGCTAGGCACTAGCCTGGCTTTAAACATCTTTCAACCCTAGCTGTAGCTAATTTCTTCTCCTTTCAGAAAGCAACGTTAGGCATAGGCAGCTGCCAGTCGAAGGCCCCGCCCGTCCTTCAGTTCCATGGTGTTTCGGTGCTGCGAGGCCAAGGTTTTGGAGGCTTGCTAGCCGGAATTTGGAGCTAGTTTCTTGTCCTTTCAGAAAGCAACGTTAAGCACAGGCAGCTGCCAGCCGAAGGTCCCGTCCGTCCTTCAGTTCCATGGTGTTTCGGTGCTGCGAGGCCAAAGTTTTGGAGGCTTGCAAGCTGGAATTTGGAGCTAGTTCCTTGTTGGTTCAGAAGGCACAGGCAGCCGCAGGCCGAAGGCCTCCGTCCGGCAAACGTTTTGGAAGCTGGACGGCTGCAATCTGGAGCTGGTTCCTTGTCAGTTCAGAAGGCAACGTTAGGCACAGGCAGCCGCAGACCGAAGGCCTGGTCCGTCCCTCCGCCGTCCCTCCGTGGCATGATGTTTCGCTGTGGCGAAGTCAGCGTTTTGGAGGCTTGACGGCCGCAATTTAAAGCTAGATTCTTGTCAGTTCAGCAGGCAACGTTAGGCACAGGCAGCTCCGTGGCATGGTGTTTCGCTGTGGCCATGCCAACGTTTTGGAGGCTGGACGGCTGCAATTTGGAGCTAGTTCCTTGTCGGTTCAAGATAGAGGCAGCCGCAGCTCCAATACGATTTACGATGTCCAGCTGCAAAAGAGAGTAGTATTACGCATGCAGCCGCGGCGCCCAGCAACCTTGACGCGGCCATTACAATGCGTTTCGCAGCATCACGTGGCAAAACCTGCATCTCTCTACACACATGGCAACACCAGATGACAACAATCATGCAGCCATTCCAATGCGATCTGCAAACACAGACTCAAGAAACGCATAGAACTACGCACACAGAAATAACCACTCGTTGCAGAACACAGAGGAGGAACCAATTCGCGCATGAAACGACCGCAGCCGCAACCGCCGCACACAGGAGGTACCTTTCATCGCCGCCTGCAGCCACTTTACACGGAAAAACACATGGTTTCGTGCTCCGGCTTCCTCCTCAACACGAGCCCCATGCAACATTCATGCAGCCATCACGTATCTACGCACATGGCAACACCAGATGACAACAATCGTGCAGCCATTCCGGTGCGATCTGCAAATACAGACTCAAGAAACGCAGAGAATTACGCACGTATGAACAACCACTCGTTGCAGAACACAGAGGAGGAACTGATTACGCTCGGAACGACCCCAGCCGCAACCGCCGCGCACAGGAGGTACCCTTCATCGCCGGCTGCAGCGACTTTACACGGAAAAGCACAAGGTGTTGTGCTCCGGCTTCCTCACACCGCCCTTCATCAATGTATTGTTATGTGATGTAAAGTCCCACGCCGCCCTTCATCAATGTATTGTTATGTGATGTAGCGTCTCACAATTCTGTTTGTCTGTAACTCGGAATATTGCTTCCCAACTTCCTTTAGTAATCTCTTTATGACCCTTGTCCCTCACGTGGGCCCCTGGCCGGCTGTCGGGCGTAAGCCCTTAAATATATAAATAAGGTCAACATCGGATTGTGAAAGTTCCCGATCGGATTGTGAAACTCGCAGGACGGATTGTGCAACTTGGATTGTGAAACTTGGAGGTTGGATTGTGAAACTTGCAGGGCGGATTGTGAAACTTGTATTGTGAAACTTCAAATTCGGACTGTGAAACTGCGAAGTGAGATTGTGAAACTCTGAAGCCGGATTGTGAAACTCTGGGGAGAGATTGTGAAAGTGGTATTGTGAAACTTGCAGGACGGATGGTGAAACTCTGCGGAGAGATTGTGAAACTGGTACTGTGAAGCTTTGAAGAGAGAATCTGAAACTCCGGAGAGAGATTGTGAAACTGGTATTGTGAAACTTGCAGGACGGATTGTGAAACTGATTGTGAAACTGGTATTGTGAAGCTCGAGAGATTGTGAAACTCTGGGGAGAGATTGTGACACTGGTATTGTGAAAGTCTGAAGACAATTCAAGAAATCGTGAAGCTCCAAGTTGCACAAGCAAAGCCCCAAGTTTCAGAATCCGACCTCAGATGGACCTACTACACCTGACACAAATCAAAACCGTGCCTAGTGCATCTGACACATGACTAGTGATTGTGAAAGTCTACAACCATTACAGACAAAAGGTCCGATCACAGCGTAACTTCTCCGGATTGCGAAGCCAGAAAAATATTTTGATATCATCTTACCCTTGTGGACACTCCAAGTCAATTTGAAGTTCCATGGGGGTGGGAATTTGGAAATCATCTTACCCTTGTGGACAATCCAAGTCAGTTTCAAGTTCCATGGGGGTGGGAATTTTTATATCATCTGACCCTTGTGGAAAATCCCAATCAGTTTGAAGCTCCATGGGGGTGGAAATTTGGATATCGCCCTACCCTTGTGGACAATCCAAGCCAATTTCAAGTTCCATGGGGTTGGGAAGTTTGATGTCATCTTACCCGTGTGGACAATCCAAGTCAGTTCTGGAAATTTGGATATCACCTTACCCTTGTGATCAATCCAAGTCCGTTCGAAGTTCCATGGGGGTGGAAATTTTGATATCATCCTACCCTTGTGGACAATCCAAGTCAATTTCAAGTTCCATGGGGGTGGGAAGTTTGATGTCATCTTACCCTTGTGGACATTCCGTGTCAATTTGAAGTTCCATGGGGGTGGGAATTTTGATGTCCCCGTACCCTTGTGGACACTCCGTGTAAAGTTGAAGTTCCACGGGGGTGGGAACTGTGATATCACCTTACCCTTGTGGACAATCCAAGTCAGTTTGAAGTTCCATGGGGGTGGGAATTTTGATGCCGTCCCACCCTTGTGGACAATCCAAGTCAATTTCAAGTTCCATGGGGGTGATAAAATTTGATGTCAGCTTCCCCTTGTGGACATTCCGTGTCAATTTTGAAGTTCCATGGGGTTGGGAATTTTGTTATCACCTTATCCTTGTGGACAATCCAAGTCAGTTTGAAGTTCCATGGAGGTGGGAATTTTGGTATCACCTTACCCTTGTGGAAAATCCAAGCCAGTTTGAAGTTCCATGGGGGTGGGAAGTTTGGTATCATCTTACCCTTGTGAACAATTCAAGTCAGTTTGAAGTTCCATGGGGGCGGCAAAATTTGGATATCATCTTACCCTTGTGGTCAATCCAAGTCAGTTTGAAATTCCATCGGGGTGGAAATTTGGATATCATCTTACCCTTGTGGACAATGCAAGTCAGTTTGGAGTTCCATGGGGGTGGGAATTTTGATGCCGTCCTACCCTTGTGGACAATCCAAGCCAATTTCAAGTTCCATGGGGGTGAAAAAATTGATGTCATCTTACCCTTGTTGACATTCCGTGTCAGTTTCCATGGGGTTGGGAATTTTGATATCATCTTACCCGTGTGGACAATCCAAGTCAGTTTGAAGTTCCATGGGGTTGGGAATTTTGATATCATCTTACCCTTGTGGACAATGCAAGTCAGTTTGGAGCTCCATGGGGGTGGAAATTTGGATATCATCTTACCCTTGTGGACAATCCAAGTCAGTTTGAAGTTCCATGGGGGTGGGAATTTTGATATCATCTTACCCTTGTGGAAAATCCCAATCAGTTTGAAGCTCCATGGGGGTGGAAATTTGGATATCGCCCTACCCTTGTGGACAATCCAAGCCAATTTCAAGTTCCATGGGGTTGGGAAGTTTGATGTCATCTTACCCGTGTGGACAATCCAAGTCAGTTCTGGAAATTTGGATATCACCTTACCCTTGTGATCAATCCAAGTCCGTTCGAAGTTCCATGGGGCTGGGAATTTGGATATCATCCTACCCTTGTGGACAATCCAAGCCAATTTCAAGTTCCATGGGGGTGGGAAGTTTGATGTCATCTTACCCTTGTGGACATTCCGTGTCAATTTTGAAGTTCCATGGGGGTGGGAATTTTGCTGTCCCCGTACCCTTGTGGACACTCCGTGTAAAGTTGAAGTTCCATGGGGGTGGGAATTTTGATGTCCCCGTACCCTTGTGGACAATCCAATTCAGTTTGATGTTCCGTGTGGGTGGGAATTTTGATATCATCCTCTCCTTGTGGACAATCCGTGTCAATTTCAAGTTCCATGGGGGTTGGACTTGTTTAGGGGAACTGTAGTTGCAGGGTTGTGCAATCTGGCGAGCGGAGTTGCGCAAGCAGAGTTGCACAATCCTGCAAGTTGCGCAATCTGTCGAAAGCAGTTGCGCAAGCAGAGTTGCGCAATCCTGAAAGTTGCGCAATCCGGGGAGTTGCGCAAGCAAAGTTTCGCAATCCTAGTTGTGCAATCCGATGACAGAGTTGCGCAATCCTAGTTGCGCAATCCATGAAGTTTCGGAACCGGGCTTTATCCTATACATAAATGTATTAACAATCTGACAGTATATGAATTATATGAATATGTCAAACGGGGGGGAGGGGATATGGGGGGAGGGCGCGGCGAATGATCCAAGGAAGTTTCATAGAGGAAATTCCGACTTACGGACAGTGAACACTCTCCTTTGCCAAGAGATCATTGTGTCCGGTTGGCATGTGCCTTAAAAGATCATGAAGTCACATTCTCACTCGCCCAGAGATCATTGTGTTCAGTTGGCATGTGCCTTAAGAGATCATGAAGTCTCATTCTCATTAGCCCAGAGATCATTGTGTTCAGTTGGCATGTGCCTTAAGAGATCATGAAGTCTCATTCTCATTAGCCCAGAGATCATTGTGTCCAGTTGGCATGTGCCTCAAGAGATCATGAAGTCACATTCTCGCTAGCCCAAGGATCATTGTGTCCAGTTGGCACCTGCGTTAAGAGATCATGAAGGCTCATTCTCACGAGCCCAGAGATCACTGTGTCCACTTGGCACTGCGCCAAGGCTGCTCGAATGGTATTGGTTCTCCAATGGGAGTCTTGCGATTCTGATTGTGTTTTGCAAGTCATTTTTGGCAGATCGCATTGGAACTGTTGCATCAAGGCTGCGATTTGAATGTTAGGATTTGCACGAAACATTGTGTTTTTTCGGTTGAATGGAGGTTCCGTTGCGGAGAAAAGTTGGCTCGCTTGAGCGACGGGGTTAGGCGTCGGCGCTTCGCCGTGAAATCTATCTCGAACTGCACGCGCAGTGGAACTGAGGGTTCCGGGTGACTTCTTCTCTTCTTTTTTGACGCTGTGCTATTGTGTTTCGCATGTGTTGAGACACTTTGTGCATTGGAACTGGTGAATTTGTGTTGTGCAATTCCGTCTGTGCAGATCGCAGTGGAATGGCTGCGCCAAGGCTGCTCGAATGCTACTCGTTCTCCAGTAGAGTCTTGCGATTCTGATTGTGTTTTGCAAGTCATTTTTGGCACATGGCATTGGAACTGTTGCATCAAGGATGCGATTTGAATGTTAGGATTTGCATGAAACATTGTGTTTTTTCGGTTGAATGGAGGTTACGTTGCGGAGAAAAGTTGGCTCGCTTGAGCGACGGGGTTCGGTTAGGCGTCGGCGCTTTGCCGTGAAATCTATCTCGAACTGCACGCGCAGTGGAACTGAGGGTTCCAGGTGACTTTTCCTCTTCTTTTTTGACGCTGTGCTATTGTGTTTCGCATGTGTTGAGACACTTTGTGCATTGGAACTGGTGAATTTATTGTGTTGTGCAATTCCGTCTGTGCAGATCGCAGTGGAATGGCTGCGCCAAGGCTGCTCGAATGCTACTCGTTCTCCAGTAGAGTCTTGCGATTCTGATTGTGTTTTGCAAGTCATTTTTGGCACATGGCATTGGAACTGTTGCATCAAGGATGCGATTTGAACGTTAGGATTTGCATGAAACATTGTGTTTTTTCGGTTGAATGGAGGTTACGTTGCGGAGAAAAGTTGGCTCGCTTGAGCGACGGGGTTCGGTTAGGCGTCGGCGCTTTGCCGTGAAATCTATCTCGAACTGCACGCGCAGTGGAACTGAGGGTTCCAGGTGACTTTTCCTCTTCTTTTTTGACGCTGTGCTATTGTGTTTTGCATGTGTAGAGATAGGCAAACCTTCTTTGGATCCTATGGCGTCACAGTTCTTAAACCCTTCTGCCACCCGCCTTGCGCGGGTTCTACTTGTAATACCTTCTCTCAAATGTAATGCTGTAGGTTAAATCCTATGCTCAGGACGTATATAATTCACAACATGCACCTTGTATAGAATGTAGGTTGAGGCACAACCGTGCTGTGTGTAAATGGTTTCGTTGCATGGTATCAAAGTGTTCCTGTAAATTCAATCACAGTATTGGATCTTGCCTTTCTCATGAAACATTATCATTATCATTGTATTCTTTCTAAATTGATGTTTTACTCCTTGTCTGCACGATAAATGCAGCATACCGCCAAGAAACCACATATGCCACGAAAGCAATAAGTCACAAAAACAACCCCCAAAAAACAGAAGCTAAGACGCCAAGAAAACTAAAAGTCACAAAAGCCACAAAAGCCAAGAAGCCAGACTGGTAAGCAAAAACAAATCAAGAAAACACGAAAAATGGAAAACAAAATGCCCGTCCGCTGCAAATTCCATGCGCCAGGGAACAAGGGAACATAAGAATGAGACAACAAGTCGTGTCACCAATTTGATCCAATCTACCCGTTTGTGTCTATGCATAATGTTTACTGTATATATAAACATATCTATTCCAGCACATGGATGCTTGATGTATTCATCCATGCAAGGCTCTGTAAATAAAGTCTTATGGCTTCTGACTACGACTTACAAAGTCTGAGGTATCCGAAGATATTCGAAGTATCTCTTGAGCAAATCTAGTCCAAGTATACCATCGTATAACCACTGGCTGCCAAATGCCCAAAAATATCCAAGCCTGTTGCAGATTCCAGCAATTTCTGCCAAAAACTGATGCGAAGCTTGCCCATGTGCTTAACCTGCTGGACAATGTCAAAGATAATCTGGAAAGCAAACATGAGAAGACTACTATCAATAGCTGCCCCAAGAGCTGGTGGATTCCGAAGAGGGAGCATATGTCGGAGGAGATGGAGAAGTCAAGAGATGTGTACCAAACGCGACAAACAATACAATAACCGCATGCGCAGAGTGGGTTTGCTGTAATGATGCTGATCATGGGTGATGGCAATTGGCAACGATACACAACGATACCGCCGATACCACATAATACTTTCTGTGATGGATGACCTGTGCGCATGCGATGTGCGGCGCTGTGGTGAAGTTGCTTGACATAACAATCCACCACCTGAAAGACCCGAGACATGAACAATGGGCAACCAGTGTCATACTGTCACACAAAGACGAGGAACCGCGGTTTTGTCCTAAAGAACAATAAAATTATGTGTTGTTGTGCACTTAGCCTGGTACTTGTGTATTGGAGCAAGCGCGCGCATGTTATGCAAAAGGATACTCATGCCAGATCATGCTCTGACAGACATGATCTGATCATATCAATCATGACATCCAATCCTATGCTATCAGGGTCTTGAGCCATGAAAAACATTTCTGAGGTCTTCCAGGAAAGAGTAAAAAAATGTATGTTGGAAAGTGTCCGCGTAATGGTGCCTTTTCAAGGAGCAGGAACACCAACTGGAACGTCCACTTCAAAAATTGTCGTCGAGATACTGGTTGAAACGACTTGCTTGTGACTTGCCCAAAATGTAAACCATGCTGATTTGCTTTGATCTTCCTGTGCCTCTGTAAAGGCCTCCAAGCAAAGCAGCAGCCTGTGCCAGGATCGCAGTGTGCCTTTGCCTGTGGTGCGCGCTGCCATTGCATTTTTTTTGCGTGCCCAAAATCGCAAGCTGTGAAGCGCCACAGCCATGTCCGATTGGCAGCAGGAACCGTCTTTTCCAGAGGGATATTGAAATTCCATTGATCAAAGTGCGTTGCAAGGCTAGCAATTGAATCGTATGCGCCATACCAGTAGTACCGCACAAGGCGGTGGCGGGAGTTTCAAAAATAGGAAAGCTATAGGAAAGGTTGGTTGTTGTAAATCACGGATGAAAGAGCGAATCCACTGATGGACCGGTGGTTGGAGTTACGCCCTTTGGAATGGCTGCAATGGTTGCAGCGGTCACCTCACCACAACTGCTGGACGTAGTTGCAGCTGTAGTGTAGTAAAGTGGAGTTGTAGTTGTAGTGTGGTGTAATTAGTGTAGTTGCAGTTGGGGTTGTAGTTGTGGTGTGCTGTAATTAGTGTAGTGTAGTGTACTGTAGTGTTGAGTGCAGTAGTGTGGTATAGTGTAGTGTAGTTTAGTGTAAAGTAGCGTAGTTGTAGTTGTAGTGTAGCATAGTGTAGTGCAATTAGTGAAGTGTAGTGTGCTGTGGTGGTGGTTGCAAATGCAGTTGCAGTTGTAGTGTAGTGTAATGTAACGTAATGTAATGTAGTTAGTGTAGGTGTAGTGTTGTGTCATGTAGTGTAGTTGTAGTCGTATTTGTATTTGTAGTTGTGTAGTGTGCTGCAGTGTAATTGGTGTAGTGGAGTGTAATGTAACGCAGCCGTACTTGTAGTTATCGCTGTGGTAGTAGTACTTGTTGTAGTTGTAGTGTAAATTGGTGTACTGTAGCGTAGTGTAGATGTAATTTGTATATTGTAATGTAATCATTGTTGTGTAATATAGAGTAGTATATTTGTAGTTGTAGTTGTAGTAGTGGTGTAGTGGTAGTTGTAGCTGTAGTTGTGGTAGTTGTTGTCTATCTATCTATCTCTCTCTCTCTCTGTCTATCTATCTATCTATCTATCTACCTATCTATCTGTCTATCTGCAAGCTTGCAAAGGAAGCTATTCTGCGAGACTTCCTCAATGTTTTAACTTGACAACGTCAAAAACGAAGCTATTCTGCGAGACTTCCTCAATTTTCGAAGTTGACAACATCAAAAACGAAGCAAGTCTGCGAGGTTGAGTGCAGAGTGGACGGCCTCGTGCCAATGCGTTTTGTGATTTTTCCATTCCATCTGTCTAAAGTACTGCGTCTGCCACAAAAAAGTGATGCCAGGTCATTCGCAGTGCTGCGCCTGTCACGCAAAATCATCTTAGCAAACCTGAAGATCTGATGTTCCAAAATGCAAGGAAATCAGCGCTGTGACCTGCTAACATCTCTGCTGACCATGTCTCTTCTACTGGGCCTGCCACGCGAAATGCATCTTTGCGGATCCTCTTCAAATGTCCCACGCCTGCCATCGTTTTTGGAAATGCCAGGGAACCCCACGTTTTGCTCACTTTTGACAAGGTGCACAATCCCTTGCGCCGGCCATGCGAAACGACATCTGAACCTCCAAAAGTGGTCCGAAACCCTGGTGCTTTTAACCTTTTGACTTCGAAATGTGCTTCGCGTCACAACGGCGTGCACTTTTTCGACATCGCAACTTCCAAACGTGCTCTCCAAAAGTGCTCCGCGCATGGTGTGCTTTGTACATTTTGACTTGGAAATGTGCTTTGCACCACAACGGCGTACACTTTTTCGACGTCTCAACTTCCAAAAGTGCTCTGACTTTGGTGTGTTTTGTGCATTTTGACTTGGCAATGTGCTTCGCGTCACAACGGCGTGCAATTTTCGACATCTCAACTTCCAAAAGTGGTCTGGGACCGTCAGTTTTTTACACTTTTGACTTTGAAAATGTGCTTCGCGCCACAACCGCGTGCAACTTTTCATCTCTCATCTGGCCAAATGGATCCGCACCTGCCGCTTTAGCGAGCCTACTTTTCGACCCTCCGGAGCCACAAATCATGGGAAAAACACAGTGTTTCACGACTTTGCCACCTTTTCGCGCACCTGCATCTTCTGTCTTCTGACTTGACTCTTTCTCTTTTCTGATCTTATTTTTTTCTCTTCTCTTCTCTGACTCTTCCCACCTCTGCTTTTTCATCTGTCCATATTGTCGGAAGTTTGACTTCTAAACTTCCTTCGATGAATCAACAGCACTTTTGCTCTGGATAAAGACAAGCCTGGGGAAAGTATGGGGTTGATCAATACATTCACCGAAGCAAGACTCAGGAGCAGGTGCCTCCTCTTCTTACTTCTTCCAGAATATGAATGATGAACTTCTCTCCTTCAACCTGACATTAGGAAGCTTTCTCAATCCAGCAAGTTATTGATTGTCCGCTTGGGTATGCTTGGGTGATGGAATTTCCTGGCTTTCGTTCCAATGGCCTTTCCAACTGCCCGCCTGCATCTCCAATCCTCCATTGAGTTTAATGGCTTCCAGTACCACCTTCCCCAGAGTCTCATGAAGTGTCGGCTACAGTCGTTCTCAACGGGTAAGATGGGTAAGGTGCAAAGAGTTTCACCATAATATGACACAAGGTACATGAACATATTATTCCGGTCAACAGGACGCTCAAACTTTGGACACGTCCAAGGTCATCTAAAGTCTGTACCTCCATGCTCGGCTTTTGATCAGCCAAAGCTGCTCGTGCTGCAGTCACTTCTCCAAGCACGATTTTCTTCAGCCGTTGAACCTCAACTTCAGAAGGGCTACCTGACTACCTTTTGGGAGCACGAGATGATTGATACGGGGACGATCGGGATGGATATTGTCCCTTTCCAGTCTCTTTCCACTCTCTTTCCAGTCTCTTGGCGTCAGGCACAGGAAAACTTAGGTCCGGGCGCTTACCGGAGCCGATGTCAAATCAAGACAGGGTAGAAGGTGGAGAAGTGGACGGCAGCGAGAAGGGTCCTTCAACCGCTTAGTCTTGGAGGGTGTTGGAATCTGCATAGACAATAAACAGTACAACCCTTTCACCCAGGTTTGGTGCATGCCATGCGAAGGTTTCACAGCCTCAACATACCTGAACATACATCAGCTATCTTTCACCTATCTTTCTATAAGGTGCCTCCCACTCCCCTGCCCATTTTTCTTTCCGAGTTGCCACAACCAGCTGCAGCCAACGTGCATCTGACAGGGCGGAGAAAAGATGATGCGAACAAATCTGGCAGTTAAGAAACATAAAAAGAAAACCTAACCTCACCTGACGGCTCCTATAGATTTTGCGACAATTTGGCGCATCTCTCTGTTTCTCTCTCTCTCTCTCTGCTTGCAATACTTCGTTTATCTTCAAGTTGCTCAAGAATCTCTTACAGTCTCAGCAAAAATCGCGTTTCTCATCCTCTCCCTACCTGATGTAATTAAACTCTGTGTCTACCACTGGTCTACCACCCAGCATGAAAATCAGCCAATCATTACTCTAGTGGAATCAAAGTCTGTAACCTGCATAGAGTTTCAGAGACGTTTGGGAAATTTTCAGGATTGCCAGGTAAAAGAGCCAAAGCGTAGTTTTTTTTCATGATCCCCTGGTGGATAGTGTCCTTGGACATCCTTGAACAATCTTGAACATCCTTGCACATTATGAGCCAGATGCTGAAGCATGCTGAACTTCTTGCTTTTGGCATGGACATCCGTGCGCATGAACATGTTAAAAACAATTCTTGATACTTCCATGTTGTTTCTATCAAGGCTCTACTCTGCAAGCCTAAGTTGATTCTCTCACAGTCTGAAAGTTGTCGCAACTGGACCGAAGCTCACACATGTGATTCACCTGACTGCTCGAGCGCTGGTTGCAGCTTGCTTCCCAATCGTGCAACAGCGGTCAAGAGATGTTGTGGAGCCTCGACAAAACGTAAAGTTGAAGTGTACTATTTCTGTCATCCACCAACCATGAAGAAAAGTACACAGAGTCATATGACATGTCAGCACTGCGATGGTCTGGGACAGCTGACCAACTGCCAAATCAATGCTTGAATTCAACTTGAGTTCTCACCATCTCATGACCATCTCATGACCATCTCATGGCAGTCCTCACACTCAAAAACTGTGGAGACCAAGGCTGGCAGGTGCCTTAGATGTCGATCAAATGATCAAATGATCAAGTGATGTCAAAAAAGTGCCTGCCCCTATCACATCTACCCTGGTGTCCCGTCGTCTGGTGTCTGATGAAATGGACGTCATAATATGACATTAAACTCTTGCCATTTTCTGGTCAGGATTCAGGATGCTAAATTTCCTGAAGGAGGCATTGAACACAACATCTATATAAAATTATATAAATACATCCACTCCCAAGCAACCTACTCAATTCCTGTATTCACTCCAAAGACTTACTGGACATTGGACATTCCATATTTACTTCTCATCTGAAGATTCACAAGACAGAAAATCGCACGGCAGACCTTTAAAAGATACATACAACAACACTTTTGAAAGAGGCCTATCTTTCATGGATTTATCTGTTGACGAAGTGATAGCTACTGCTAGCTACTGATATCTGGCGGTAGCTGGTGATAGCAAAATTAACATCGAAAATCAGACGTTGATTTTGCAACGATTAGACAAAGCTGCGGCCATAGCAAGGTCTCCTCTATCTGAAGTGCATCGATTGCCAGCTGCGAGGCGCTGTTTCGAAGGGCTGGCGAATCCGACCTGGTAACGCAGTCAGGCTGACATGGTAACGGATCTAACATATTCCAACATGATCATTAAATGATTTACCAAATGATCTAAAATGATCTAAAATGATCTAAAATGATCTAAGTCTAAAGGATTTGATATGATTTGAAAGCAGAATCGGGTCAGGCCCAAGGAGGTGCAGCTTTCCGCAAAGAGCTCACTAGCCACCAGAAAGTTGAATAGCAATGGATAGCATGTTTTTTTTTTTATGTTTATTTATGTTTATTTATGTTTATGATGTTCATGATGTTCATGATGTTCATGATGTTCATGATGTTCATGATGTTCATGATGTTTATGATGTTTATGGCTGACAGTTTGCATCTGATACTGTAACCAAAGAACTTGCTTGGAGTCCTTGGAGTTGGGCTCCCCAAATATCCCAAAGTACAATAAACATTGCAAACAAAATCAAACAAAGCAAAAAAAAAAGCAGATCAAAGCAGCAAATTGCCAAAATAATCCAAAATAATCCAAAATACACCTACACTTGGCCAACTGAGAGGGGGACTTCAACCCTGCTCGCAACAACGAGACCACAGAAGCGGCAAACTCATGCTGGAGGCAAATTGACAGCGAGGACATCGAGGAGTCCTGCGCTAAGGTCAAAGTGGTCACACAATGCCAAAGTACCACAGAATATCACAGAATTGTCCATGGGATTTGTCAACTGAAAGAATTCTGAAACTAGAATGTGCCTCCTCGGGAAACACGCGCATGGCTCGAAAGGACTGTAGAAAAGACTATAATATATCAATACATACCATGAGTTAAGAATCATAAGAACATGTAAACATGTCAGCATTCGCAAGAATCATTAAGAATCAATGACATGGTACAGAGTAAAAGATTTGAGGGGCGTGGTAAACAGCCAGACCAAGTCCAAGCCTTGCTACGCAATTTCGCCAAGGATTCAAGTGAACCTGTCAGCAGCTGCGTGGAGTCCTGGACCGGCACATGCCGAAAGGCTGCAGCAAGTACCATGACACACTGAGACAGGCTGCGCTTGTCTTCAAAAATCAAACATCTTGATCTTGGATGATCTTGAGCAGTTCCGCGGCTTGGAATGAAATAGTATTTTAGAGCAACAAGTCTGCAACCAGCAAATCAATCCCGCACAAAAATTCATCAAACACCATGACAAGATGCAGTGGAGAAATCTGACGCAACATATATAACATGTGAATACATGTGATATTTGGTACGATATGATCTGCTAGAATACGAGTTTTGAGGTGCAGTGTAGCGAGAGATCCGTTCAATTCCAGACTCGAGGGTCTTGAATCTTCTCACTACACAGGTGCGCTGGCCTCCCAAGATGTTGCTGCAGTAGCAAGGCGCAGTAGTGACATCTGCAAGGCCTGTCACCAGAGGAGCAAACAAATCTTGCGAAAAGGGCAATCCATGTTGCTGTTTGGAGGTCCAACACCGCAGTAGGACTTGGTGATGACATTGAACATCGGGAGTGGAAGCGACATCACCGGAAAGGACCCTCTTAATCCCTCTTACATTGTCTTTCAATCCTTCAAAGGTTCAACCACGCGCTGAATCAACTTGTTTAGTGGCCTAAAGATGATTCATTTAGCCAATGTCCCTTTTAGTCAATTGCCCAATCAAATGCGCGAACATTCATTGCCATTTATTGCCTCAATTCATATGCGCTGCTGGCCGAGTAAGAGACTTTCTCTTGTATTCAACACGATATGATATGATGATGAAAATGTTACAGTATCGCCTTCAGGCTACGTATTCTTGGAAATCATCCTGACATAGCAAGCAGTTGATGAATCATGTTCACATGTCAAATGAAACCTTGAAGCTCCTAGACTGAGAGTCCAAATGAAAACAGCGACATGGGTTGACCTCATTCCAGGTCAAACACCATGAACTTGTAGGTACACAATGGTACGCATCTATGGCCAGTGGATGCTTCCCTTTTTGATGCCAAGCTTAAACAACTGCTGATCAATTTATCAATCTGTTCTTTTTTCCGTGAGATCTAGCGGGTTTCACACACACACACACTACGAGCACTCAGTTGCTAATGAATTGCTCATTCCCTTACTCCAAGACCTTCTCTTCTGATCACTCATTGGACAATTGAACAAAATTAAAGCATCATATATCATCATATATCATAATGTCATATCATTAGTCGCGCGATAGTTTGATCGAACCATCAACCAACCAAGGGTTCAAACAACTCTCAGGCAATGAACTTGAAACAACAAGCAGTTTTCAGATATCTCAAGCTGGTGCACCATGTTGCACCTCCATAGAAGCAGCGTCCATGGCCATCTCTAGGCATCCACAAATCTTCACCAAACGCTCTGATGCACGACATAGGCGATCAACGCTGCCCAGGTCCCACGCAAGACCTTGGCTTGACGCTTGACATGGCCTGACAGTCCAAGTGACTGCAAGTGTAATTCAGAGACCGATAGGGCACAACACGAATCAACACAGTGACAACATGGGACAACAACAAAAACAAAACAAACCTGATCAGCACCTGATAAAAATATATAAAAATCACAAATCAAGGAGCGCCTGATCAGACAAATACAGATAAGCGCCAGGACTGTCCACAAGTATCAATTACATCATCAATATCAAAATGATGGGCAGCAGCTTGCGATCGTGTTAACCATCTGTCTTTCCAGTGTTGTCTTCTCACTTTGCTAATTCATACAATTTCACTTTGTCATGATTTCGTCATCAAACAACCTTGTTCAGAACAGATTATGACCCAGTTCTCTGAGTGATTCGCAAAAATAGACCCAGTGGGCATGGAAATAAAGCGCCAAGCGCACAAACTGCTCACCCAAGTGGAGCAGTCCGGAAGTTAGTTCCATGCAAAGATAAATCTGTGGAAATGGGGTCCCAGCCTGCAGCTTTCTCCGAAAAAATGGCCTGTGCGGGATGCTTACATTGCTTACATGGGCAGAATCAAGTCTCACGCTGCGAGATACGGAGCGATGCAACATAGCATCAATCAGTCGTCATGCCAACGGATCTCAGTGTGATACGGGAGCGGATCTCACTTTGATGTTCAAGGCAGAATGTGATTTGATTTGAGTTTATTCAGCATAACCTTTGGCCTTTGGTCGCTCACCCGCACGCACATCTTTGATTTAGCATAGTCGCATCGGGTCAAGTCAAACAGCGCAACAAAGCGAGGTGTAGTTATCAGGAACTCCAAGATCGAATGTAACAAGAGCAAATATTGCGTCTGAAAATGTCTTAAATGCTGTATACATCTGTATACTGAGGTGGACAAAATGGAATCGTATAACACATGTCATCGGATTCGTCGGGACGGTGAACTACAAGAGAGTGTAATACAATATAAACATATATAAACAGTAATACAATACAGATCAATACAGTACACCAGTGGTAACACTTGTATGATATACGTTTTCCACAATACATGATGTTGTGTGCTGTTTACTGTAAGTGCCATGACAGAATGAGATCATACGAGAAAACCCAACCTAAAGATACCTAAAGTAGATGTAGAATCAGGATTACAAGAGATTACAAGAGTATATGCACGAGATGACTCGTAATTACTCGTATAGTGTCAAGATGCGTCAAGTACTCTGTCGCATTCACTTTCAGGTCTGCTTATGTCTGTTTCAGGCCCTGCCCCTCCTCGGCCGCCAAGCGTTCCTCCAGGCTGTGAAACTCCACAAAATTCACAGGAAATATCCAAGGAAATACTGCAGCAACTCTCAAAAACAGCAATCTCCACAGCAAACAAAACACATCCGTTGCATCCTGTTATCCCCTTCTTACTTCCAAGGTATAAACATAAACATTGTACAATAATATACAATAATATACAATAATATGGTACAATTATGTGACATGTCTTTATACGAAGCTGCGTAAACAACGATGATTTCACCTTGCAAAGCTGGTTCAAGCGCTGGAAGCCGTTGATCTTCAGAGGTCGGTGGCGCAGAGCGTCCAAGGCCTTAGCTGCGAAGTTGAGTCACAAACCTGAAAAAACAACTGTGAAAAAAATATTACAAACGTCTCTGCGACGCTTGACATTTCGACACCTAGTTGTTCCTCCAACGATTTCTCGTAATCTCTCGCAGCCTAAGACATCTACGAAGACGTAGCTTGGGGATGCTTGGGGTATCTTGGGATGCCAGCAGCTTCGCAATCACCCACGAAGTGGGTGAGAACACCATGTCTGTCCTCTCAATTCACCGGACAAATCCAGAACGTACAGCATGGTGAGTCTAAAAGTCCTCCCTGGTCAAAGTATCGAACTTATGCACTGGTCACTGGTCCGCATCCTGAAGCTGAAAGACTCTCACATGACACTGTGCCTGTATGGGCTCCGCACGGGACAAACAGGCGCAGTACTTTGAGTGGCAAGCTGACTGTCAGCTAGAAACTACAAGCAGCAAATCGTCAGCGTGTGAAGCCAGCCAATCTGAAACCTGCATTTGAACCTTTGCGTTGCGCTGCTCCCCTTCTCAACCCAAAGAAGGTCCTGCTTCGCTAGCTGCACCAACAGCTGCACAATGAGCCTGACACACACACACACAGGCTTTGAATTTTCTACCTAGTAGTAGTGCTTCCGTCTTTTGATTTCTGTTCCCTTTCGGCACTCTCATCTTTCTGCCGATTTGGATACTTTGTGATTTCCAAGACTGGTGACTGGCATCAACAAAAAATGAACACAATGGTCTCCACTCCCTTTAGGTTTCTACAGCACAGAAACATTTTTCCAATCTGCCAGAACTTTGCCGGAAGTTCGCCACGGTCCAGAACCTCGAGAAATCCTCTGAAGGCTCTGGCAGCAATCTGAGCAGCTGCAGCAAGGTAAAAGATGCCTCGCAAAAAGATACGACAGAGGCATTACAACCGTTACACATGTCAATACGATTCAATACCGCCTCAATACGTCACAGGGATTCTTGCTTTGGTGTCCTCCAGATTTCACTAGACAAGGTCATGAAGTGCAAAGGATAAGGAGCATGTCTGGTTTTGCCCTTGTATGATCTATGATCAATGTAATAAATCGTACCATATCGTACCGTACCTGAAAAAAACACTGTTTGATCTGTTTGTCCTCATTCCTTGCTGGGTTTTGCCCACTATCTGTAGAGTTGGCTTGATCAATGCGTGAGACAAATCCGCTCGGCTCAACACAGGCCCAACGTCGGCTCGATATTGCCAACATCTCCCCAAATGTTAATTTCTAATCTAGGCCATTCTAGGCCTATAGTATTGGCCACAAGCTCATTTTTTTTAACCAACATGGTTCAATCAATTTAAAAGAATACTTGCAAGATCTTGCAAGTCAAACACATGCAAACAAAATCTAAATACACATGTTTTGCGACCTTGACCTTCCAACGCCTTCACGCCGAACCTGTGCCAAACCTATGTTGGGCAGATGTTGGCGTTTTGTCACCCTTCTTTTGAGTCCATGGTCCGTGTTGCTTTCATGTTGGGCTAATGTTGGGCTATTTTGAGCTACGTATTTAAAGCCTCTAGATGTGGCTCGCAGGATTGTTTAAGAACTCATGCTCTACGCGGCGGAACGAACATGATGTTTCAGCATGCATTTCAGAATCACTCAAACATGTTATTTTAATTGTGCTGACCCTTCCATGTTTCTTGAGATCAAAATAAGTAGAATTGAATATGCAGGGGTTCATGTGAACCTTGGCCTCTAGCATCCCACTGTGTCTAAAAGTCCACGCGAATGGCAGCTTCCTGCTGTGTTTGCCAGTTCATTGACTGGCTGATAGTGGCTGCAAGTTCAAGCGAGCCACTACATGCAGCCGTCCGTGGTTGTAAGGTCAAGTGAGCCGTGAGATCCCACCTTCAGAATCGCTACAAAAAGTTACACGAAACGTACCAACTTCCATCGAACCTTATTGCCCCCCACCTCAACCCCGCCAGGAAGACAAACATTCCATCAGGTTCATGTGCTCCGTATGCCATCCACTAGCATAAACGAGATGTTTGCCTAGATCTATTCTCCTTTTTGCCGCAACAGTTTGTTTGTTGCATGGATTTTTTGATGCAAGGTTTGGGAACGGAAGCCCCACTGCACGGGAAGACTTGCTGGACGCTAGAATATTGAGTGCCACCAGCATTGTACATGAATCCAGGATCAATGAAGCTTGGTGCAGGCGGTCTTTTGCATGAAGCGACTGCAGTGACTGGAATACTTATGGGAAACATGATCGACTTTAACAATTGCGGTTTCTGATCGAAGCACCTGCTCCTGATTGAAAGCCAGACCTCATTGCAACCAACGCAGGCAGCGACCATATCGAAAATGTTGGACCATCCGGAGCGAGTATGCACTTCCATCAACCACCAGTTGGTCGGCATCCGTGAGCAGTACAGAACAGTCCCCAAATGCTGCAAGGCTGCAGTACTTCAACACCACCAGAATTGGTGACTTGTAGTTTTTAAGCTGTCACAGCTGTCAGGTTTGCTTGCCTTTTTGATATACATATAGGCTCATCTATTTTGAAGCAGGTTGTCCAAATTTACTGCCGGGCATTGATTAGGGTACGCTCCGCAGATCCCCGAAACATGCTTGTCAGCAGCATTCACACCCAACAAACTCTACCAGAACACCAGCACCCATCCCGCTGCGCAAACTCTAAAGCAATCTGCGTTTCCAGCAATTTCAATTTCTCCCACGTGTAGAAAGTCGCATTTCCAAGTTTAAGTAAGACGTATTGCATTTTTGAAAAGATGTATGGAAACTCAATATTGAAGACTTGCAGGGTCTAGTTGCAAGGTTTCTCAATGTTGCTTGAATTTGACAGCCACCCTTGTTTCCAATTGATTGAAACATTTGGTTTCAAAGTCTGTTCAATATTTGGCCTGAATACTGCAGTTATCAGGAACACAGGTGTCAAACAGGCAAACTCAAAACCAAAGATATTCCACGTTGATATTTTGTCAGGTAAGCAATTTCATTAAGTACCATGACCACAATCATAGGGGAAATATTTCCCACTTTCTCTACAGTAACTCAACTTTCCAAAACAACTGCCAATGGTTTGACCATATTCCTGGCGTGAAAATAAATTTCTTTTCGAAAACAAATCATGTAAACACATGCGCGGGGATCAAATAAAAAACAAGTTGGGCAAGGGGCAGATCGTTGAAAAACAATTTCCTGTGTATAGACTCGTTGGGCGAGTATTTGGTAGTGGACCCTGGTATTAGATAGTTGCGCGGGATGTTTTCATGGAAAACATATTCTAGGAAACTGTTCGCATAGACACTTGGGAGAAACATGCAATGGAAGGCATGTGTAGGAGTGTAGGAAGATGTAGGAACTATTTTCAGTTTTATTTTGCGAAAAACGTTGATGGAAGACTTGCAGAGAACCATTCCTGTAAACCCCTGCGGGATTCCGGAGAAAAAAATCATCAATTTAGTCAAACATCATGGTTTTACAAGCTCTTGGGGGGGGAAACCAAAACATTTACATTGCACTTTCATGTGTTTATTGTCAGGGAATACCATCCCGAACATATAAAATGCGTTTTTCCCCGCATCTTTGTGTGGGGTTCTTGTTTGATGGTTGCGCACTCCCGTCCGTACTGCCTCCTCCTCCTCCTCCTCCCGCCCTCCTCCTGCCCCGTGTTTCACACGCTCACTACTCACACACAACTTACTCACACACAACTCTCTCACACACAACTTACTCACACACAACTCTCTCACACACAACTCACCCACACACAACTGACTAACACACACACACACACGCACAGCTCACTCACACACAACATACTCACACTCACACAACTTACTCACACACACACACACAACTTACTCACACACAACTCTCTCACACACACAACTCACCCGCACACAACTCACTCACACACACACACAACCTACCCACACACAACTCACTCACACACAACCTACTCACACACACACACACCTCACTAACACACAACTTACTCACACACAACTCTCTCACACACACACAACTCTCTCTCACACACACACACCTCATTAACACACAACTTACTCACACACACAACTTACTCTCACACACAGCTCACTCACACACACACAACTTGCTCACACACAACGACTTTGTGTGGCAATCGTGGCAATTGGTGACATCGACGTGCACTTTGTGTGGCAGGCGTGGGCTTGTGGCGCCGCTCCATTTTGTGTGGCAGGCGTGGCGCTTGGCGACAGAGCTGGCTCTGTTGGCGCGCTTGGTTCCCGGTGACGCCGCTCCAATTTGTGTGGCAGGCGTGACGCTTGGCGACATCGACCGTGACTTTGCGTGGCAGGCGTGGCGCTTGCTGACATCAACGGGCATTTTGTGTGGCAGGCGTGGCACTTACGGCACTGGGCTGGCTCTGGTGGCGCGCTTGGTTCCCAGTGACGCCGCTTAAGTTTGTGTGGCAAGCATGGCGCTTGGCGACATCAACCTTCACTTTGTGTGGATCTTGGTGACGTCGACGTGCACTTTGTGTTGCAGGGGGCACTTGTGGCACGGGGCTGGCACTGGTGGCGCGCTTGGTTCCTGGTGACGCTGCTCCAGTTTCTGTGGCAGGCATGGCGCTTGGCGACATCGACCTTCACTTGGTGTGGCAGGCGTGGCGCTTGGTGACATCGACTCGGCCACATTGCGCATGCTGCCAAGACCGGCAGTTGCCATTCACCTCTACCCATGGTTTTTTGGCACGTCGGTTATGGCTACAAAACATGATCACCCAGCACTTATCCACAACACTTGTACTTACAACACTTTATACACACAATACGTTCTTACACCACACATTTACACACACACACACACTTCTGTCCCGCACGACTCTTTCCCGCACAATTCTTTGACACACACTTTCCCAGGCAATACTTGTACACACAACACTTTTACACCCGCTCCTGTCCCACACCGCTCTTTCACCCACAGGACTTTCACACACGACTCTTTCACACACACACACACACACCACTTTTACACACCACTTTTACACACCACACCTTTACACACACTTCTTTCACCAACAACACCTTTACACGGAACTCTTTCACACACCTCACCTCGACATGCATTTCTTGCACACACCGATCCTCCACCATCTCTTTTCTCTTCCCTGCCTTTCCCATCCCATCTTCACCTTTCTTTGCCTACTTATAGGAAGAAGTTGACATGTAGGGTTGGCTGGTCCTTTAATTTTACAATATGTGCTTACAGCTTACGACAGTATGCAAATACAGAGTGGAACCAAAGCAGCCCAAAAACCACTGCATTCAGAATTTATTTTGTCCCTGAAATTTGAAGGGATGTAACTCAAACAATGGGAGTGCATGTTTTGAGGGATAGGCCCGAATAGTGAATAGTCTGGATTCAGGCTATTGAATTTTTGACGCAACATTTTCATGTAAAAATAGTAGCTGACTTTCAAGTCTGTGGTTCAAAAGCAACTTGTCAGATTCTGACTCTTCCTTACAATGCCAACCAGCAAAGAAGGAGTGCCGTAAAGTCCTTTTCCTAGAGGTGAGATCGCCTCCATTTTTCCAAAACCACTGTGCTCATTATTTACATGTCGTTGCTGTCTCGGACAGAGTTCAAACCTGAAAACGGTGATCTGGATGGATTCAGTGGTGTGTGTGAGTACCATCTGTAGAG